GTAGACTGGTATTATGGTAGATACAACATGTGAGCATGCTGTTCGCTAGCTGGTTTGCAACTGTTATATGTGTATGTGAAAATAGCAGAAAGTGTTAGGATAATTATCATTGAAGATGTGAGAGTTTATTACATCTTGGTATTGGCTTTCTGTTGCGGGTCAGAACTGCTGTTTTAATCTAATTAGGACAGTTCCTCTGTCTGGATATAGTTATAATCTTTATTATGTACGTGACAAAGATTTGGAAGTGGAATGAGAGTGGTGTCCTTCAGCTAAGAACGAAGTGTAATATTTTGATAAGGATGGAGCCATGAATGTCTACTCATCTGCTAATGTGGATGATGAGGTGAGCAGCTGCCTTCTGTACATTCTAAGCTATTTCTCTGATCTGAGTAAGATTACAATTTCTATCAGAATCTGTTGTCAAGTCTCTTGGTTATTTAATACATATAGGTTATGAAATGTTATTTAAAGATTTCTTCCCAAGTGATCTCTTTTCAGGAAAAAGGACCGGAGAGATAGAGCATCAGGCTGCATACACAGAGCCTATCATTGTCCCCGTTTCCTATTTTAATTTTGATTATATGTATTTATTTTTATCTACAAACTGGAAAAATCCCCAGATTGGATTCCAGAAATCAGGTCACCTTATAGTAAGTGCTGGAATGAAAAGGCATTGAAGGGTATTTTTCTGCTCTACATCACATTTAAAATGTATTGGTGTGCCCAGTTTTCCTTTTTCAAACACATTAATGAATTATGAAAACTTCCATGAAATGCAGTTATATGTCCCCACCTTTTTAGGATGATATAATGATTTAGATATGCTGTAAATCCTCCTNATGAAAACTTCCATGAAATGCAGTTATATGTCCCCACCTTTTTAGGATGATATAATGATTTAGATATGCTGTAAATCCTCCTGCACAAACCAACAGACCTCATAGGTTTGTTAGAAAAGGGGCGGAGCTATATGGGGGGCCAGAGGTGGCCATGGCCCTTAGCCAATCATGTGGCCACCCCACAATTTTTTCCCCCTCTAGTACAGACGGGGGCAGCAGTAATACTCTCAAGAGGAATTTTCAAACTTTTCAAAATTTTTTCATTCACAACTAAAACATTGTGGTTTATTAACACATTAAAATACTAACAATAAAGTTGATATATATAGAATTCATGTTCTCTTGAGACAGTGAGATTCTGGTGCCTATTAGTTTTCGGCCTCCCTTCAGTGTACATTGGTTTTTGACTGGCCACCCCTATTCAATTTGTCTGGCAACGCCTCTGTGTTAGAAGCATGGGTGGTTCTAGACAGGGGCCAAAGGGGGCCAGTGCCCTTGCAGACCATGTCCTGGCGCCTTTTAGGGCCCCTGTACTGAAGACATAATACCCAAAGAAATTCTAATGGTGATATGCGCTGCAGCAGACATGGTTACTGATAGGTCCTTTGGATCTATTTCATTATTTTCTTTACAAATTCTTTTTAACCTTTTAACATCCACCTCATTTTGGGTAATCCTCGCCTATTTTGCATACCCAAATGAAAAAGCAAATAACTTAGGAACTATAAGCCCAAATTACATGTGCAATACATTATTTAAAGGCTAACACCCTCTAGTTTCCTAATATATAAATTATAAAATATAAAAAATTGGGTGAGTAGAACACAGATCAAGCTGCATCAGTTCAAACATGACTCAAAGTTGTTTTTTATTCTCTAAAATGATAGGTGTTTTTTGAACAGCAGTAATAAAGACATGAGGAAAAAGCTGGTTTCATTGTATTATATTTGTTCTACATCATATCAACCACAAATGCAGAAAATGTCAGACCTCAAGCTATAACAGTTCCAGAGCTGTGGGGTATGGAACTTTTGGTGTCAGCTTGGAGCTGTGCGCAATGGCTCCACCTGCTGGTAAAA